TTGCACTTTTCCTGAGTGTCTAGATGCTTGGGAAGCTGTGAAGGAGCACTCCACCCATCCCTTTTCCATGGGAAAAGCTCTTTGGACCACTAGTTACAAAATTCAGGTAATTTTAAAAAGGGATTCTGAGTGGGCAGGTTTTTTGAATGGGATATATACAGCCGTGTGACCCTATCAAAACTGACCAACTGTACTGTCAAAATCCTCAGAGGTTACTTGATAAGAGTGGCAAGGAGTTTTTTGCTGCCCTTGGCATGTGGCTCAGTGGACAATTCCCTGTACCTATGATGGTGTTGAACAACTAGGCCTTGATGAGATGAAAATGCTGCATGGGTATAACAACCCATGCAATGACCCATGGGTTGTTGGGGTGGCTTGCTGCTCATGAACAAGCCATTCTGAGGAAATTGGTTCAGGTATGTACAGCTTGAGTACCCATTCTGGGTAACAACCCATGTTGTGTTGTTGTGTCACGTGAACCCAGTCATTGTAAAACAGCACTAATACACCATCACCTGGCCTTTGCTTCCAAATGCCCTCCTAAATATGTAGGTCTTCTAAAATGTCTTCCAAAGGCCACCAGAGCCATACTTTGGAGAACCTCTTACAACCTGTCATTCCAGTGCTAGCATGGAAAAGCTTTGCTCCATGTTGACTTTACACAGTGATAGATTTTGGAGCAGAGCAGCTGATGGAGAACTTTATGGGGGAAGTGGGGGAGAAATGTGTACAGTGGCAGTCCTGTAGGTATCCAGGCACTGTCCACCAAGGGCGTTGATGATTAACATGAACACTGTTAATTTAGTTTAGTCCTAGAACAGCAATTTCCAGGGTCACAAATGAGAGATGATTGTCTTCCTCTGTGTAACAAAGGAGGAGGATCTTGACTCTGGCTGGAGTTTAAAGTACTTCTTGTAAGGACACTCAAGCTCCTACCTGAGATTAGCTCTCTTTGATTAGAGTAAGATGAAAGAAGACGTAAGTATGAATGAGTGCTAGTGTAGAGGATGTGAGGAAACCCTCTTGCCCATTTTAGTAGAGCAGAAGTAAGCATCCCTGCACCCTGGACACCTTTTCTGGCACCTACTGAGATTCCCTATGCCTCCCACTTAAGGAAAAAAGAAAAGAATAACAATACTTCTTTGAACCAATAGCTGGGATTGCTTCTAAACTAAGTGTAGACCTCCAGCTGGTGCCATCTTCCCTTCCCATGCATGTCTCTGGGCCACACATGGGATTCTGGGACACTGTTAGGAAATGAAGATAAAGGGTAGCTGCAAGCCAATGCCTTCTTTTGAAACATCCGGCCACCAAGAAATAGAAGGCAAACAGTGACAGACTGTAGTATAGGGTTACAGGAGCCGTTTTCATGTATCAGGGCTGAGATCCCATTTCTGCCTTGTATGTAACTATTGTTTTGGGTACGTTAGTTGTCCTTTGTCAGTAGCCACTTCATGGTGGTGCCCGTGACAATTTCTCAAACTGCCAAATGTGCCCACAGCTCCCCAAAGCTACCTCCCTGTGCAATATGAAGTTTTGGCAGCCCAGTTCAAGAGTATTTTGTCCTGGCTTGTCAGATCTCTCCAGCCCAACTTTTAAGACAGAATGGAAACATTTGAGCCAAGGAAATGATGAGGGGAAACACATAATAGACGTAGCTGGTATTTTTTAAAGATGTGCTGCTGAATATATTAGGCAATAAGGCTAATTCATGAGCCATGGGAGAGAAAAGAAGCCATCCTCTTCCAAATGTATTACTCAAACCTCAAGATTTTTTTGAGAGGCCTTGCCCTGGAACTTCTCCAAAATGAGGTGGAGTAAGCAACTATCAGAGGAGGGAGTCTTTTTGGTAGTAGCATGCCAGTTATAGAAGAGCTTTCAAAGAAGGTTCACCTGGTGGCAACCCCTGCGGACTTTTCAGCAAGTGTCTTCTGTTCACTGGGTCTTTTAAGTAACATGGAATCTGGGCCTCTTTATTTTTAAACTCTGTTTTCTTAATTTGAGGGGGACGCTGTGAGCTTGGTTTTTTTGCTATATACTAAGTTGCTTTTGAATGAATGAGTTGGTGCTCTATTTTGTAAAAATTTAGTAAATTTTGTTTTAGTGTTGGCTTTATTGTAAAGCACATGAAGAATGTTATCTTGTAGGGCCACCATTCAACCCTTTGCCTGCTGGAAGTCCTGTTCAGCATTTTGCTGGAGCACGCATGGTTACAAACATCACTTAAGCGTTTGAATTCATTGGCTCATCCTCTGTGCAGACTGGAAACTTCATTTGAAAAGAAGCTAAGATTTTCAAGATACTGAAGCAGGCATTAATGCTTGTATGGTATGATCATGAATGTGTGGTATACCCACCAATCTACCCATGGGACTTAAATCTCTGCTCAGGTGCAGTGGACTGTGATAACCTGAAGGCAGTAAGGACCAAAACAGCTCCATGCTCATGTTAAAAATTCCCTGGAGCCCTCTTGACTTTTCATAGAATAATCTCTTGCCTTTTTTTTTTTTTTTT